ATTTAATTGCAATTAAGGTAGATAATCTTTACTAAAAAAAAAAATGCTTCATAATCAATAATTAATAATTTATCATGTTCTATAGGATACTCTCCTGCTTCTTGAACCTCTAGAAAAAGCCACAAAACATCTTTCGGCATCATCTTATCCAACCATGGGTGATACTCGATTTGTTTTTAAATACATCCAAAAGTATCTAGAAGAAAAAATTGGAGAAGATGGGTTCACGCAATCCGAAATGGCTGCCTCAATATCCCAGAAAATTGGAGAATATTGGGAAATTATGGATCACTCTTCAATTGCCTCAGCAATCTTAGACCCCCGAACTAAGCTTTCTGCCTTTTCAGTAGATGCAAGTCAAAATGCTCGTGCACATATTAAAACAATTTTTGAAACTTACCAGGAGAATTTTTCTAATATATCATCTCCTATGAGAAGAACATCAACATCTATGAATACAAGTTGCCAATATTTCATACAACTTTGTCAAGGCACCGGCACTCCACAAACTTCATCTGTAACTCCCTCAACATCTTCAGTATCAGAGTTAGATCGTTATCTTGGATTGCAGAGAGATGAAGATACAGATCCTCTCTTATGGTGGCAGGCACATGCCAAAGAGTACCCAAATGTAAGTAATATGGCGAGAGATTATCTTGCCATTCAAGCAACAAGTGTTCCATCAGAGCAGGCTTTCTCTGTTGCTGGAAACACAATTAGCAGAACACGGAATCGCTTGTTGCCAGAAACTGCAAGAGCCTGTTTGTGTATGAAAAGCTGGATAGTAAATAAAATAGGAGAATAGAATGCATAAAATTTTTTCTTTTTTTTGTATATATATATATTAAAGATATACTTATCGTTATTTTTCTCTTCTTTAATGCTTTATATTTTAGTTTCTTTTATTTATTCATTTGTCTATTCATTTGTTTATTCGTTTGTTTATTGTTTTATTAATTATATTTGTTTAATAAAAAATTGTCAAGAAAAATTTCATGTGATATATTCGATGATCTTTCCTTAAAAGGGAAGATCGGCCAACAGAGCGGCGGTTCCTTAATGGAACCGCCCCATCCCTAATGAAGTGGCAACACCATCCCAAGCAACCACCCATTACACATCTACCTGCACTACCAAAATATGCCAGAACAAGTGAATTAGGGCATTTCTTCAAATATGATCCACATGCACAGCTTACCTGCATGGAAAAAAGAAACATCTCACTTAATGCAATCCATGCAGACATTCTATAATGGAAAAAACATTGTATAATTTGGTCATGAAGTATCAGATTACACCATTGTAACCATCAAATGGAGAATTATGTTACAAAGGGTTCCCTCAGCTGCTATCTGACAAAACCTATTGCTAACCCAATGCCTATTGTTGTGTAAAGCAAGGAGACAGGATGGTCATCCCTGATATGGAATGGTCACATATATAACTTTTCAATATGTGATGTCCACAGGATTTGTGAAATATATCACAAATCTGACAAATACTGAAAACATATCATGATGAGGAGGCTAGATGCAATGGAATTGATGATATTTTTGCTCCAATACCTAGTAACCAGACATTGAAAGTGATGAGAGGAGTGGTGAGAGCAAGTAATCCTTGCTGTCATGAGTTAGATTCATCATTAAGATTTTGAGCATCTTGAGCTTCTGGTGAGGTTTCATTTAAAGAAATACTTTCAAGCAATACTCCATTTTTTACTTCCTCTTCATAAATTATTATTTTTTAGAATTTAAAGATGATGGATTTGACGATAATGTTTCTAGGTTTAGAGTAGGACTACAATATAACAATCATGATTGTTGTGATCTTTTAATTCTGGATCAATAGTATAATTGTTTGATAAGTTAAATAAGTAAGTTAATCTGATAAATAAAAGGAAAAACAGATTTATCTCTAGTTCAGGATTAATTCAGCTAATTGATTGATTTTCTTGCAAAAATAATTCAGAAATCTGTCCTATTAAAGCTGTGTTGACTTCAAAGAAAGGTTCATCAAAGTCTTCTATGCCATTAATGAATTGAATGGAATTGGTGCAATACAAATGTGTCCAGAGTCACATTGCCATATTTTTCTGTTTAATAATATTTTCAAGGAAGACAATTATCATCAACACTTGAGTTAGCATTTACAAATTAAAGCTGGCTACCATCTGACATTTCAAGGAAGATAAAATTTATTTTTAATTAATTATGACAAAAACATTTCATCAGGTATCATTTAATCATGACATCATCAATGACACATTTTTGACATTTAACTTTAGTAATTGTCAATTAGTCATCATTTATCATTCTATTTTATTTATTTTATTTGACAAAATCATGTAAAAAGTCATATTATTTGTAATACTTCAAGAAGTATAAATATGCTTGAAATTTACTTCAGTGAAAAATTTAAAAAACAATTGATTTTTCAATAATGACACTTTCATTAATTGATTCATAACCCTTTCTGATGATTAGTGGTTTGGCCAACATTTAATTATTAGTTAGGAACCTCTTTTATTGGTTTTACTATATTGCTTGTAGGGACACCTCAAGTATTGTAGTTGTGCTAGATTTGATGACTCTGCAATAGAGCAGAGTTTCTATTTGTAATACAAATTTTTGTTTGAATTATTCAAATCATTTGTTTGTTTGAATTATTCAAATCATTTATTTATTTGAATTGTTATCATTCATTTATTATTTGAATTGTTAACATTCTTTATTATTTGAATTGTTATCATTCATTTATTGTTTGAATAGTTATCATTCATTTATTATTTGAATAGTTATCATTTGTTTATTATTTGAATAGTTATCATTTGTTTATTATTTGAATAGTTATCATTTGTTTATTATTTGAATTGTTATCATTCTTTATTATTTGAATTTGTACCATTCGTTTATTGTTATTATTCAAATTGATATCATTAGTTTATTATTATTATCATTTGAATTGACATCATTCGTTTATTATTATTATTCGAATCAACATCATTCATTTATCATTCGAATTGACATCATTAGTTTATTATTATTATTCAAATCAACATCATTCATTTATTATTTGAATTGACATCATTTGTTTATTGTTATTATTTGAATTATTATCATTCATTTATTACTCGAATTGACATCATTTGTTTATCATTTGAATTGACATCATTTGTTTATCATTTGAATTGGCATCATTTGTTTATCATTACTATTTGAATTATCATCATTCGTTTATTATTATTATTTGAATTGACATCATTCGTTTATCATTTGAATTGACATCATTCATTTATTATTATTATTATTCAAATTGACATCATTTGTTTATTATTTGAATTGTTATCATTCATTCATTAATCATTTGAATTGGGATCATTCGTTTATCATAGAGGTTGGCACTGTGCAAAAATTCTTTAACTGGTTAATTAACCGTTAAAATTAAGAGTTAACTGGTTAACCGGTTAATTTAGTCATGTGGAATTTTTTAACTGGTAAATTTACTTACAAAATAATCATGCGCTGTTGAATTTTATTATTATACACTTAATAGATGCTAAATGATTACAGTCAAACCTCGCCACAGCAGATTCATGGTTCCAGCCAAAAAAATCCGTTATTATTATTATTATTATTATGACAAGAAATCCGCAGCGACAAAATTGGTAATAATACAAATAGTCATGTGACATTTCCCTGAGGCTGCTTTTCTATATGTGAAAATAAATTCGAAATTCGTGTCACATGAAGTTTTTTTAAAA